AGGTCACGAGCAGTTGTCCAAGCATTTCACTACATATCGTACTGTGTATGACTGTGTACGTGACAAATAAAATTTGAATTTGATTTACTGGATTCACGTTCCCTAAAACTGCAAATCAGGATGAGTGGTCACAATGTAAGTTTCTGACCAATCACGAACACGGTTAAGTGTATGAAGACGTTAAACACACAGACTGAAAGCAACAGCAAACCAGCAGTGTGTAAGAGGAATAGCACCATTAGTTCAATATTAAATGTACTAGCTTGTCCACGTCCTCATTTTAGGTTTGACAGCATTGTTAGTAGATAAAGACAGACAGCTTAAACATGGATTGAGCTGTGGTTTGGAGAAGGCCTCAGAGGGGACTGGTGGCGGCTCTCAGGCCAGCAAAGTTCTGTTAAGTTCCACATAATGACAACAGAACCAAAAACTCACCTGACTGTGAAGAACACATGACCATGATGAATCACTCCTCAGTCAGGTCTGAAAGCTTTTAGATGATTAATAAATGGATGTATTGATCATAAAGACGTGAAGGAGATACAGTTTTTACATACATGTATATGTTTTACTTAAAGTACTCTAATTTGTAAATTTCTTTTATTTCATTTTGTTTTTACTTTATACAACTTATATTATTTTTCCTTTATTGTTTTTATTTAGACGCTCCTTTCTAAGCTGATTTCTTTTGTCATATTTGAGTTTTTTTATTGTATTTTCTACTTTATTAAAACTATGCTGTTATTAGTTGTGTTTAATGCTTTGCTGCTGTAACACGGGCATTTCACAATTTTGGGATATATTATAATTTTTTAATAGTCTATTATTTATTAATTCAATTGATCCTTATCTTTATTGACTGTAGGTCAAATGTAACAGTATCTTTTTCTACCGCGGCCACAGTCCAGATGAAGAGTGTCCTCATACTGAGCTGACAGTAAGAGTGTTAACTGAGCCTTTAAGTAAGTCTTGTTGCATTTATGCTCGTATGATAAATCTACACCATAGCTACAGTATAACAACAAAGCTTCTGAGGCCCTGCACTGTAACCACACATGCATTTCCACTTAAATCTAATTACACATCACACTGATGCAGCTCACAACATCTGCTGCACTGCTGTAAACGCTGGCAGTGACATCAGCCATCTGCACAGGTCAAAGTGAGAAGGTCACAATCAAGTAACACTTTATACCTGCAGTAAAGCAGAGGAGATTCATAAATATCACAATAAACGCAACAACAATCTACATGTAACTGCAGCTCATACAGTGTTTATCCCATACTGTGACTTTAAACAAATATGTGACAGCTGTCAGGCCTCCAGCTCCCCCAGGAGGTCCTGAAGTGTACTGCAGCCAGACATCAAATAACGTAACCTAGTATTTCCATATTTCACAGGTTCTCAGATAACACTCCTACATTTCATGTAATTCCATTAACCAAGAAAAAGCCTTTTTAGAAAAACATTAAACTGACTTAATTGTTAAAGGTAATGTTTAAAGTCTCACTGATTTACAGTCAATGTGTGCACAAGTTTTTATTCGTGCTTGAATCTAAATAGAGTCGTTCAATTCACAACAGGCGCTTCAAGGTAGTTTAAACTGTAAGACCTGTAAAGATAATATGACAGAAACCCCAAATAATCAGATGATCCCACACAAGTGAGCATTTGGTGACAATGGAAAGAAACCATCCACTTTAATAGGAATACAATTAGAACAATAGTATTAAAGTAGTATTATAGCCGCTTCGCTCAGCTGGGTAAACAAAGCAGCGAGGTCAGAGCTCCTCAAGAGAACTGAACAACCATCTGTGCTTTATATTATCTGTGCTCGAATGTGATGTAATGGGGGAGGTTACCACATTTGCCACCACATGACCCCCATCTGGATACGCCCCTGCCTCCAAAGCTGTAAAAAGCTGCATTTATTAACAGTTACACACTGACAGTGAAACTATTGGAGAACACAGACCATGCTTAGCTAATAGCTATGCTACGCTAGTGAACCTGAGAAGGCTGAATAAATGAATCCTGTTGTTTGTTGATGAGTTAACAGAATGTGTGCTTCCATAAAGCATGCCCATGTTACTGTGTAAAAGACTGTAAACAAGCTACAAATAGAGATGTGGAGCAGAACAGCACTGTGTGCTGTGAGAGTGTCTGTTACTCACTGTCTGTTACAACAGAGGATCATTATGTATTTATTTCATTAGTATGTCAGTGGGCTTCTGTCTGTGGTCTGAGTGGTTCCACATGGGGTTTCAATGCTGCACATTTTGAAAACTATGGTTCAGGCTTGTCTGTCAGTCCCATGTATGTGTAATGTGAACTTTCATCAAAGGCAAACACATTTATCAAAACATAATACGTGAATGAACCCACAGCTTAAAGATGGCACAGTCAGTATTCAGGACAAGATATCCAGCACCATTAAAGGTGATGAGAGGAAACCTGATATATAAGCAGCTGTAAATAACATGCAGTGTTAGCCTGCATGGGATGGGATGGATTCAAATCCCCGACCTGATTGGTTGTTTCAGTCCTGTCCTTTATGTTAACATGATCACCTGAAAAGGATCTGCACCTGTTAAAGGTGAGCCATGTTAAAAGGAACTCATGTTTGTGTTGTATGAACACACACACATGCTGAGTCACTGAGTGTGCGTTCAATGAGGATCAAAGCAGCTTCCTTACCAAAGACCAGGAGCAGGAACGACAGAATCAGGTTCATCCTGCGGCAAAAAAGAACAAAATAATCTCTTTAAATCTGCTCCTCCAACCAGCCGACAGCCCACACACAGCAATCACTACACTGCAGCTGGCTCAGGTTTACTTTCACTTTCACACAGGTCCTGTCTTAACCTTTAGTATAAAAGCTCTTAACTGCAAAGGATTCTCAAGTTAAAGTCAGAAGAGAAACACAAGAGCATGTACTGCCTTCATACTCACATGGTGCTACTTTTAGAAACATGTGGTTGGAGGCTGGGACCAATGTCCTGCCACAGTTAGAAAAGCCGGGCTGGACTACATGCCTTTCACTGGGTGTCATATTCCTCTGTCCCATCATCAGTAAAAATAGACACAGTGAAAGATTCAGATCTGAGCTGAGCTCAGATTGTTCAACTAAAAGTTTTACACCGACCACAGTGTTTGGTTAGCACATGCTGAAAACGCCATATTTACCAAGAATATAGTGACAAACAGTGTTGGGCAAGTTACTTTGAAAAAGTAATTAATTGTAGTTACTAATTACTTCCTCAAAAAAGTAACTGAGTTAGTAACTAAGTTACAATATCCTGAAAGTAACGAATTGCTTGTAGAAGTAACTATTGTGTTACTTTAAAAAATCTTTAACCCTCTGGGGTCCAGGGTTTAATCGGCTGTTGTTGACTACTTTTGATTTTTTTACCGCTGCATTTCACCTTTAGAAACTGTTTACCTCGCCTTGTTTATCATTCTTTTCAGCACAGCCTCTTTAGGTTTTGTTTCTGTGCCTCTCTTCTGTCCCTTGTGTTACGTCTAGCTCTTGTCTTAGATGTTTGTGTATTTCCTGTTTTACTTTGACAATCCCGTGTCCTGTGTTAGTGCATCCTGTTTTGCTTCCTCTCTGTGTTGTCATGTGTGATTAGTCCCAGCTGTGTGCTGTGCAGTTCAACATTACACTAATCTAGAGAAACAGCAACGCACTAAGAAACACAAAGCTGTGAGTACTTTAAGCGTTCCAGCTGACCAGCAAACATAAATCACAGTCTTCTGTTTGGAAGGGCGGCAACAGTTGAGAGCGTTGCTGCCTGAATGACAAACACTGAGGTGAAAGAAGATGGCAATCAGAAAGTAATGGCTATTATTTGCAGCAAACGATTTTCTGAGTGTTTTATTAGTAATACTTGAAGTTGTGAATGGTTTCCAGCTCTCTAATAGTATTTCTTAGAATATTGTTCGATGTCAGTGGAGCTAAAAGTAGAAACATTGTTTGCTACTATTCAACATTCAGGGAACTATAGTGAACATTTCCTCAAGGACTTCAACTCTAACTCTGTTGAAAAAAAAAAACCATGGTAAACTTGTGATATGCTGACTTTAAGTTGCAGAATTTTTTATTTAGTTTTTACTGACAGTTTCATGAGTAATGCATACTTTGAAAAATTCTTATATTTGTACAGTCGTACCTAATCACACTGGACAACACATGTTTGCATGTTTGCAGTGTACGTTGTCACATAAACCTTGAGACCAACACACTTCAGACCCCCTGACATGTCTGGTTGCTGGTGAAAAATGTGCATTCTCCACCCTGACTGCTGGCTGGTGAAATTAGTCACAAAGAGGGTCGTCCACCAAAAACCTCCATGTGACTGCTTTGATGGGCTGAAGGTTGTCCTGATTGGCTGCAGCTTGCATGGGAGACACCAACGTGCCTGTAAACACGCTGAGGATTAGCTAATCCTTGGAAAGTGTCTTTAGAGTGAAAGTTGAAGCTGAAGCACGTTGGTTGCAGAGGTAAAGCCCAGCTTTTACTTTGAAAGTGAAGCTCTATGTCTCTTGTTTGTATTGCACTTTCTCAAGTTGTTGATTTTGCAGGTAAACTTCTATGCAGACTGTGGGCAACTGCAGCAATCTGACAAATGTTCTAGGCCCATGTGTCTGGGACATAACTAAAGCTGGATTTCCATCTTTGTGTCCCTTCATGTACCTGTTAGATGAGACAAAGCAAAATGCCAGTTCAGCACCACAAACCTGTGGAGATGGATCGTCCTGCAGTCCTTTAATAAGACAGTAGAGTGTAACCTCTGTGCTGCTGAATGGCAGCTGGTTGAAACGTCAGCTTGAATAAGAAGAACAAAGTGAATTTGTTTACTTGAGAAAGCTCTTTGTCTGTTATGATTTCTGTCTTTTCCTGGCAGGGAAGAAGTTAAGGACAAACAAAAAGCAGCAGCTTGAAAAAGCTTCACCTCCTTTAGAAGCTCTTCTACATATTTTTCTACATATGATGACAGCAGCTCTAAGCCTTGCATAGGACCAGTGCAGTAACAGGACCCTGACCAGTTCTGTTCATTTAATTTTTAACTCTGGTTAGCAAACAGCTCGTAGGCGTCTTATTGCAACCTTCTGACACAGAGTAGAGACCAGTCAGGAATCATATAATATGCGAACAAAGGCAGGTGTTTACTAACCAAAGAATCTACAGACGGTGTTAAGTTTGCATCATTTCTATACAGTCAAAGTCAATAGAAAATGATGTTAAAATGATGATAAGTGAGTGAACCAGGCCACACAGAAATCTGATCCCAAACACTGATTCAGGTGGATTATAATAAACTGATGATACAGATATATTTCTCATTCTAATCCACAAATAGAAAGTACTTCATGTGTTGGTCTGTGGGGCATCTCTGATCTCTGGTGTCAAACAAAACCCTCCATTTGAATTTCATTTTGAAGAAGAACACAAAGCTGTGGAGACACAAATCTGCTGAGTCGGCGGGTAACAAGGGAAGATTTTCTCTGTGTGAGCCGACGGGTTTGAACCCACCGTCGGGCCTTTCTGTGAGAAGTCTGCATGTTCTCCCTGTTAGAGTGAATTGTTATATGTTGTCATTTTTATGCTTGCCAAATCTGATGAAAGGAATTCCACTGTCCCCTTCCCCAGATTCTCGAGGTTCAGGCTGTAGTGTTTTATGGCAGATACATCCTATCTGGAAGATCTGTTTCTTGTGATGTTGCTCCTGCCTTTGTGACCCTTTGGTCAGCAGGAGGTCACACACACACACACACACACACACACACACACACACACACACACACACACACACACACACACACACACATACAGTGCCTTGTCTTTGTAACCAAGGGGGGTTATGAGGGGAGGTACTATTGTTTTGTGTGAACTGTGTTCCCAATAAAAGGCAGCGAGAGGAGGCCGGATTTGGGGTCATTTCCGTGCTGGACACAGACGAGGCCTCCCTTGCGCAAGTAATCGATCGATCCTGACTGTCTTGTTTTCTTCATGAGGAATAAGTCTCTAGAATTAGCGGGGCTTGTGGAAACACAGACCCAACACTCCCCATGTCTGCGTGGATTATTTGCTGAGTCTAAATGTGCCAATGCTCGTCTGTCTCCATGTGTTAGGCTACCTGTGGATCACTTCCTAGTTAAAGGAAGACTCTTCTTAAATCTCTTGTTGTGAGAAGCAGCCCACACCCACTGATGCACATGGGCACTCAGTTTGGAAAGAAGCAGTCGTGGTTCCTGTCCCTAAATCTAGTCGTCCAAAAATTCTAAACGACTTCAGGCCTGTTGCCCTCACTTCAGTTGTCATGAAAGTCTTTGAAAAAATCATCAGAAATGTGATTATGAAAGAGACTGAACATCAGCT